TGGGTGGAACAGTGTCCTCCCAAAAGTCACACCCACCTGTAACCTCAGAATGTGACCTTGTTCGGAAATAGGGTCTTTGTAGATGGAATCGAGTTAAGATAAAGTCATACTGGTATGGGTGGGCCTATTCCAATGACTGGTGTCCTTATAAGAGGTGAGAAACTTGGGCACAGACATGCAGAGAGGGGAACAACATGTGATAACATAGACACACGAGGAGAACACAATGTGATAACAGACAGAGATTGGAGTGATGTCCCTGCAGCCCAGGAATGCCAGCAATTGCCAGCACCCACCGGAACCCAGGAGAAAGGCATTTTACAGATTCTCCCTCAAAGTTTCCAGGAGGACCCAACCCTGTTGACACCTTGATTTCAAACTCATAGCCTACAGAAATGTGAGAGAATAAATTCCTATTGTTTAAGTCACCTAGTTAGTGGTACTTTATTGCAGCTGCCTTAGAAAACTAACACAAAGGATCCAGCTCAGGAAAAGTGTCAGTGTGAAGGGAAGGTACCCTGATCCTCTCAATTCAGAGGCTACTCCAGATAGCCTACCAGTAGGGGCTGCTTTTTGTGAGCCAGAAAGTACCTACTTCCAGGGATGTCCAGGCCGATGATGCAATGATGGGAAGGAGGTGGGAAGGATATGGGTTAGACTACTCGGTGCAGCCCCTGATGGTGTCCTGTTCAGGACTAGTCTGCTTGCTCTGTGTTTTATTTGTCATCCCTGCTGTGGCAGCAAAGAGGAGTCACTGCAGGGCTTTTGTGGGCCTGAGAGTGTCTAAGGACCCCAGCAGCGTGCCCATGGTGCTGCTGGGCAGAGGGTGACCACAAAGTGTGTTGCTGATGTGCTGGGGCTATGTCAGTCCCAACTGTCCCCAGGAAAGAAAGAGCCAGCTGACCCATGCTAGACACAACTACTTGGTCAAAAAATGGGCCAAAACCTGAATTTTGGGCCATATGTGGGGTGTGGGGTGAGGGCAAGTGGGGACAGCGACCGGGGTCAGGCTGAGGTGAGACAAGAACTCAGGCAGGAAGGGGGCTGAGATGACAAGGGGCAGGAAGGGGGTGCTACTGCTCATGCGGAGCAGACCACTCAAGAGACCAGAGAGCTGACCTCAGAACCAAGAGAAACAAAGAGAAGACAGGGCCTAAGGAGCCAAGCCTGGCAGGAACGAGTGGCAAGGCACCCTTCTGGGATGGAGAATTTCAAGGCAGGAGGTGACTGTGGTGGGACAAGGGGCCCCTCCCTTCCAGGAGCCCATGCCAAGGCTAGGGAAGCAGAGGGGTGTTTGGTGACACATCTCAGGACAGAGGAAGGGACAGAGACAGTTTCAACATCACGTCTCCCTGGAAAGATGCTAAGAGGAGGTCAGACTCAGCTGTGTGAAAGGCCTGATTGTTGTAGACTTCCCTCCACTTGTGGCCCAAAGCCCTCCCCTGAGCTCCCAGCTCCAATCCCATCCAGATAAGCACCTGAAGGCCCTGAATGACTGAAAACTCATGTCAGAGAACAAGGAGAGTAAGGTGGGTTATGCAAAATTTTAATTGTTTAAAGGACAGAGGGGCTGTTTAGGGGCTGGGAGGGGTTCAAGGCCAAGGGCGAGAGAGAAAGAAGCTCCAACACGAGGGCATTGACCAAGAGACTGAAGGCTGAGAGCGCAGCCTGGTGATCGCACATTTAGGAGGTGAAGAGACACATGAAAGAAGAGGAAAATCCTGGAGCCTCACAACCGGGGGACATTGTGTGGGGTGGAAGCTGCAAATCCTTGCTTGGGACCTTCTGTCAGAGTCCGTGTGTGCTAGATGAGCTCACTGTGAGGCTGGTCAGTAAGGGGCCGCCTCACCCTTCCCCTATCCCTTGAAAAGCATTTTGCAAACAGTTGTAATGTCCCAATTCAGGGCAGCTCCAACTGCTTCATGAGACCCCATCTAGGAGGTCAGAGAGCTATAGACAGTGTACTGACAAGGAAGACATTCTTGGAGACTCCTTGTGTGTCTTTAGTAGAGTCCCCCCGGGGTAGGCTGGGCCTTCAGAGGGGTCAGCTTACCTTCCATGCCTGACATGCTGGTCCCACTGGGGTCATTTGGATGTGACGTTGAAGGTGGATCATAGCGGATCACCAAGTCGATGGTGGCCTGGGTAGAAATAATGCATTGCAGACATTATCAGTGCAGGGCATCAGGATGCTATGGACGCAATGCAAACCAATTCAGCAGGAGTAAAAGTTCTAGAAGGGGTGAGAAGTGAGGGTAGGGAAGTGTGAAGAGAAAGAGAGAAGGGTGACACACACTCCATTGCTTATATCTTCCCACACGGGATGCCAGGTGGAGTGGGAAAGCCTGGGGAAGGAGTTACCTGTTACAGGCTGCCAAGTGCATCATCGGTAAGGGGCAACCTCATAAACAGAGGAAAGTTGTGCCGTGCAAGCACGAACTTGTAATTAGCTTCCAACCTAGGCTGGAGGTTACCTCCAATCACAGAATTACAGTTACAGAGGCTCCTTTCAAATGATTGTTATTTGTTTGCTCATTGACTTCTTTATTAACTGCTGAAACTTATTTTTATACTTCTCTCTGAAAAGAACTTTAAATGACTAACAAAAAAATTATTTAACAATGTGATTCATAAAAGAGGATTAAAAAAAGGGAATCAAGTCTAATTAAAGAGGAAATAAATATGCAAATCATGAAGTCCAAGAGGCAATTGCCTCTGCATAAAATGTGACTCCAAGACAGCTAGGAGCCAATGCAAGAAGGAGAACTGAAAATGTTATGTAGTTTTTATTATCAGAAAGGAAGAAACATGTTAGTTCCTTACAGGAGCTAAAGTTATTCTCACTTTTTAAATCTAAGATAAATTTCGTACAAGGGGCATTATTTTAGGGCAGTTTCCCATCTTTTTATATTTCGTGAACCTACAAAATTTCAAAAAAGTTTGCTAGAAGGAGTCAACAGAGGGATGCAAATACATGGCCACAACTACTATCTGCAAAAAAGAAATGAAATTTAACAGCAAAAATGAAGAACTACAAACCTCAGAATAAAAGGATTCCTTTGCAAATAAGATGACGTGCACACACACACACCCCCCACACCCAAGTTGCCAGTTAAAATACAGACAAAATATTTAGGACTACTTACGAGGTATGATCAAACAATATGGTGAATGTTTAAAATTTTTAAAAATGTATTACAGTCAAAGACACATTGTCATTAATCCCCCTCAAAGTACTCCCCCTGGCTTTAAACAAACTCATGCCATCATTCTTGCCATTTTCTGAGGCAGTTCTGGAAGTCCTCTTTCGTGAGCGTCTTTAGTTGTGCTGTCATGGCTGCCTCGATGTCCTGAATCATTTTGATTTTAGGGAAGAATTAGAAGTCACACAGTGTCAGATCCAGTGAATAGGGTAGATGAGGACACACTATAATGTTTTTTTTGTTTGTTTGTTTGGTTTTTTTAAAGATTTTTATTGGGGAATTGGGGGATGGGAACAGCGC